GTTGAACAGACCATCCTGAAACCTTGGAGTGATAACCAATCTGAATTCCTATGTCTAACCAACCATGAGGATGACAGTTTAAACCAAGTGAACTGCCTGTCAGTCCTTAGTGCTTTTGCCTTTGCAAAAGGTGACAGAACGTGTTTAGAAGAAGTAAAAAGTTACGTTACATCTCTTGATCAGTACCACATGTACCATCCCAAAGTTGGCTTCCTGATGAATAACCTTGGGATAATGTTCACTGAAGTTGCACTTTATGAGGAGAGTGAAGAATGCTTTAGAATTGCCAACATTTGCTTTCAGCAACAAAAACATTGTCTGAAAAATGCAGTAGTTACCCTGAACCAAGCTTTTCTGAAGAAGGTCGTGGGTGAATATGAAAAAGCAGCAGATCTCACTACAGCTGCAGCTTCCTTGTGTCATGACATCTCTATGAGGAAAACAAATGATGCGCAACTACCAGCGAAGTTGCTGCGAAGAATTGCTGATATGTTAAAGGAGTTTGGCAACTACCGGAGGCTGAAAAAGATTCTGACAACTGTCATTCACTTTGACATCCCAGGTGCTGAAAAAACTACTACAGCTGTTTTCTCCAGGCAGTTGATGAAAATCCAGCTTGAGGGAATGGAAAGAAAAATTGAAGCCAAAGAAGTGAAAGATTTTATCTCCCACTTACTTGCTTTGCTGGCTAAACCAGATGCTTCTAAGATATCAGTGAATGCTGAGCTCTTAAGAATTGTCATCATTGCCATAAAGATTTGTCGCAGTATTGGTCAATGCATTGAAGAAGCTTGCAAGTTATTAAAGAAGTTGCAAAATATTTTTTCTCTTGTCCATGGTGAAAAGAGTTTTCTCTATGGATCATTACTATACCAAATGGGTTGCTTCCTGCATGGCTGTGGAAGGTTTAATGATGCTGAGACTGCACTGAAACAGGCTGAAGGTATCTTGATTTGTTTTTGTGGAGAAAATCATCATTCAGTCACCTTGTGTAGGAGTGTTCTGGGTTGCTGTATTCTTCTAAAGGGCAATGCCAAAGATGCCTTAGAATACCTAAACGAGGCATTAACAGTGTTCAGGAAGCTGAATCCTAATCATCCAGAAGTAGGAGAGATTCTTTTGAAAGTTGCCTTCTTGTATTCTGAAGAAGGAAATTTCCAGCAAGCCCAAGAAACCGTGCATTAGAAGCAGAAGCTATTTTCATTTCATCCTGTGGTGAGGTATCTCTCAAGACAGCCAATGCATACTTTCAAGTAGGAATGATCTTCCAGAGGTTTAAAGAGTTGCGCATGCCAGCTGTTGAGAAAATACAAGAGGGCATTAAGATGATGGTAAATCTTGGAATAAATGTCAGTCATCCTGATGTCATGTTTTGGAGAAGTTTACTTGGCAGCTTAAAACAGTCCTTGGGTCTGGGGAAAGAGGCAGAAAAGTGCTTTATAGATGTCCAAAACAGTGTTCCCTTTTGTGCTGACGTAGGCAGTAAGGACACAGAAATAATTACCCCGGTAAACTTCCTTCACTCCCAAGACAGAGCTGATGTTAAGGGAGGCAAATCTTCATTCGCGATAGCTCAGTGCATTTCTCTTATTAACTTGGTACACATGGAAAGAGGTAACAAGAAAATCCAGTATCTTGATAAACTTGTGTCCTGTTTGAAAGAAGAACAAGTAGAAGAAATTCAAATGAGGGATTTTGCTGGCCAAGATTTGTATCTATGTACTCACAGGATTCCTTTGTTTAACAGACCTGCAGTCTTAGTTATACACACATTTGATTCATTGGCTGATAGATTAGGAGCAGACAATGATGATGGCACCAATTCAAAAATGTTTTTGTCACCCTCTGCAGAAAAATCACCCTTCAGTTTGTTTTTGAGGATTCAAGGTAGAGGTCTGGGCGTGAAAGAAATCAACTGCATGACTTCTTCCTTCTGCAAGAGTGTAGAAATCCTATTTTTGCAACCTAAGTTTAGAAAAGGTTTTGTAGGAGGAAAGGATGTGTATGTGGAACTCCCAACTCAAACAGCCATTTTTTCCCTTTCTAGTTATCTTGATTGTCTCCCTTTACTTGTTGAACTGGAGTTGACAAAATCACAAGGACTGTACGATGATTTTGATTACTTGACGTCTTGGCAATCTTCTGTGGACTCTGCTACGCATCCTGCACCTCATGTCTCTTATTTTTCCTATAGTTGTGTCAACCAACGTGAGACAGAGTTTTTCTGGGACCATTTGATCCAAAATTTTGGTCAACAATTGGCACTAAATGGTTTCCAAGAAAGTATGATTTCTGATGTTTCATTGGAAGAGAACGTTGCTAGATTCATTGTTCAAGAGTCAAATTTGTTTTTAACTATTGATGTCAGGAATCTTTCTGTCATTGTGAAATGTTGCACTATTAAGGAATCAGGTTCTAACTGTCATTGTTCCTTGATAAGAAATGTGCTGACTGTTACCATTGAGTCATTATTTGAAATTTTGAATGTTGATGTTGAGTCCTCTCTGCAGCTGGGCTGTGAAGGTGTTCATGGCTTTGTTCTTGGCAATGATGATCATGATGGTAACTGTAGCCAAAGTGTTGACAAAGACTTAGTTGGTTCTGGTCCAACATTGGAAACTTCGAATTCAATGGTGACATGTCTATGTAGTATTTCTGGGGGTGCAGAAGCAGATTTGAAAAAACGGACAGTTGGCAAATTACACAATGAGGTAATACTTATCTTAAACAATAAGGATTAAATGAAAAAAAATAGAAATGAAATTTTAATCTCAGTTAGTGAATAAGAAAAATGGGTTACAGCCGGTCAAGGCAGGACAAGTGTATCCTCCCCCTCCCCTCCAAGATTCTATTAATGAATTTTGAGAAATGAATCTGTTAGTTGTTCCCATAACTAGTGTTTTTTTTTTTAAATCGGGATTCCTGCATGTGTAATGAGCACGGTGAATATTTTACGGCAACTTCGCTGTATTTGGTCAGATTGAAAATCTTGGAATGGATAAAATTGCTTTGAAGATATCTACATCAATTCTGAGAAACTGATCTGGCATGCAAGACTGCAGAGATGAATCTGAAATCTGTAACATTGGAATCTTGGGGGGTACGCTTGACCTGGCTTGACTGTTATTAGTACGAACATCTAATGTGGGACAATCCAAGTTCCTTGATTCATACAGGTCATGTACATTGTATGCTCTTAACATAGCTGATTGTACATTTTAAATAGAAACCTAGTGCTTAGACTATGAATAGTCCTTCAATTTCTTTAGAAATGGTTGAGCAAGCAAAATACATGAGTGCTGTTCATGCACAATCTCTGCACATCAAGATGCAAGATGCAGAGGAAAAATGAAGTGGTCGCACTTTTCTTGCTGATCCTACATGTACTTTGTAGCAGAGTGCAGGATGTGTGTCAATTACAGCAGCTTTGTAGATTTGGAGGGGTTCTTACGTCTGAATTCTTTGCTTAAGAGACACCCATCAGGTCTTTTTTCAGGTCTTTTTATTATTTTTAATGTGGCTAAATTTTGTTCAGACTATGTTAACCACAAGCCAATGCCACCAGCATTGTCCCCCATTTTAGCGTGGGGTGGTCCATTTGGGGCTTTCAGGGCTGTTCTCCTTTTGCATCATTTGCAAGCTATTTTCAGCCGATCATTACGGATGACTTTGGCTTTTGTGTTTGCCAATTAGATTTATCGTTTGCTTCATCTGGTGTAGCAATATATCACTAGTTGCATCAATAGTATGAAGCAAGTGGTAAATCTAATTGACCACTTTGCAGTTGTGTGGGAGACTGGGTCGAGATGGCTGTCAAGTGCATTGTGGGACTGTTTTGGGGTGATCTTGACCTGGTCTCCCATGCAGCCTCAAAGTGGCAAATACATTTACCATAAAATAAGGTTTGTACACAAGCAGATTGTGTGGGTACCTTGTGGTGAAACAAAAACAGTCAATGACTGTGAAATTTAACCTAATATATAAAGAGGAGTAAAGCTCTGCTCCAGATTTACAGTGGGCTTACTTTACAGCAGCTGTGTTAAAAAAAAATGGTCTTTCTGCAGGTAACCAGTATCACAAAAGAAAAAGAGGAACCAAACAATGGAGCTCCTCTGGGGGCTTTATTGTTTGGTTGTATTGAACGTTTTCTTTTGCTGTACATAATTTGTGCCTCAGTAGCTTAGCCAAGGACAGAAAAATTAGTACGATCCTTTAATGAAACACAGTCAGTGTTAGCATTTGTTGATCAGTTGTTTGTATTCTTTTGGGTAACAGAATGCAGACATCATCCATCCTTTATGCCATCCATGTGACAATTGTCAACATGTAGATGTTGGCCTATGCCTTCTAGAGTGCCTTCTGAATCAGTCAAGACCTGTATTGCATACAAGAGAGAAAGAATTGAACAATGGTGAACCCACTTCAAATGATGTTAATGGGTGTGTCAGCCACATTACACATCCCAGTCTGTCTTCAAGTATCTTTTCAAGTGCTACTTCATCTTCATTGAACTCAGTGCCTGCAAGCCCGTCTACTTTCTCTTTAGCTGGCGATAGCCTATTCACATCAACAAAGTCCCCAAGTGAGAGCTTATCATCTGTCGACAAATTGAAGGAATACAATGCAGATTCTTCTTCCGATGTAGTTTCTGTTTGTGGAAGCAGAGAACTCTTTTCTGATAATGCATTAAGAATTACAAAGTGCAGTGAACCGTCTGTTAGTTTGCCAAAGGAGCCTTCACTGTCTGTTGATACATGTGCATTTTCACAATCAAGTTACAAGGAATGCTTACATGTAGAACAAAGTTGTTCTTATCCTGGAACACAGAATACTAAACAGTCGAAAACTTTCACCATCAAAAACATCAATGGAGCTGAGGAACTGAAGATAAGATCTACTGATCAGAAAGCTGCAGCACAGAATATTTCTTCAAAGGACAAGGACTCAAGTGTTGGTAATGACAGCAAGCTCTTGACAACTCAGTGTGTTGAAGATTTACATGCAAATCAAAGTTCAAAGCTTGAAGCACCTGATCAGGATATTCAAGGGCCATTGTCTGGGGCAAGTTCAGACAAAGTTGACACAGGAACTGCAACTGACGATTTTTTTAGAACTCTGCTGGCCAATTTGGAGGATGAGTTGGCAGCTTCTCATATGGATCGTCATGAATTAGAACAACAGATAAGAAGACTGGAAGAAAATTTGAAGCAGAGCGAGGAGGAGAAACGTGAGCTTCAAGCTGATCTAGGGAAATTTCTGTTCCTTGAGGAAAAAGCAAAGCGTCGTGGAAGGCTCCTTGGTGGGGCAACTGCAGTGCAAGAGCCTGGTAAGTAAGAGATGTACGACTGAGCATTCAATATATGGATTGAATTATTAACATGCCTTTGCAGCTGAAAATACATGTATTTCACAACTGTGTTGCTTGGTGGAGGAGGCAAAAACCAGCCCCTAGATAGTGTTACACCCCTATGGCTAGTAAACCCATGTCTTTTAGCCTAGCCCCCATGTCAAGAGAACCAGGCACCTGTCACACTGATTTATCAGTGGAAAAAATAAAAATGAGGGTGGAGAATTAAGCACAGTACAGTGGCTAAAGCAAGTGGCTGCCAGGAAATGCTGTGCTAAGCACTTGAAAAAGTGCCTTTTTGAGACCCTCCAAACCATTAAGAAGGGGATGGGGTGGAGGAGGAAATCATTTTAAAAAGGGTCCAGAAAGGTGGCGATTAAAAGGTTTTTGTTTATAAATGCAAATTAAGTCTTGAGTTACTTTATTTAGCTGGCATGTCCATAATACTAATAAGCTTGAAAATAAATTTAATGGGTTTTACAGAACAGTTTCAAATATGAAAAGAATTCATAACCCCTTTTGAAGAAATTTTCCCTTAATAACTAAACAAATGTCTTCAAAATTTTTGTTTTATGGCAAGAAAACACAATGGCTGTTTGATCATTTGCTCACCAAAATTTTAATCGTTGGCAGCAGTAAATGAGTTTAAAATAATTATTATCATTTTTGTGCCCAATTATTTCAGTGTTTTAGTATAATACTAAAGCAATAATTGTTTCACCTCATTGTCGGTGGCTAATTATGGATATTTACTAAGTGATAAATATCCACCACTAGCCATTGACAATGAGGTGTAAAATTGTTATTAATTACCAGTACTACATTGTAGTAACAGATATATGCAAAATGATCATGTTGACCACAAAGAAGATTAAATGTCATGCAGTAATTTTTATACAGTTTTGGTGTGTATATTCAAACAAATACCAGATCTGGCCTAGGTGTTATTCCTAGTGGAATATTCTACAATTTCCTTAAAGTCCTTGATTTTCCTTCCACTAGGTCTCCTCCTGCATTCAAGACTTATTGAGATCTCTGACTCATTGTCATCTGCAGAAGTGAAAAAGATCAAGTTTTTGCTCAAAAGCAAAGTCAGTAGTTTCAGACTTGCACGTATAACAGAGGCATTTGAACTGTTTGAAGAACTGGAAACTAATGGAATATTTCCCTTGGACTATATTGGGGAGCTGCTTGGTGGAATTCAGCGGTATGATCTTGTGGAAAAACTTGGAATTCATGCACCCCTATCAAGGAGTAGAAAAGGTCAGAGAAAGTTCATCAAAGTTAAAACAATGGTTATATCAGAAAAGTTTATTTTGAAGTTAGGGTACTGTAGAGTTAAATGAACTTGAAGACATGGGACTGTATCATACACTCACATAATAGTTTAATTTTAGACTCATGTAGTTGTTTTTCAACACGCTTGAACAATGAGTAGCTTTGGGAAGCAGTTCAACTGATAGCGAATATTATGTCCAGTTACATTTTAAACCAAAGTTAAACTGCTACGATAAAGTGACAAAGAAATATAAATATAAACTTACAGATTATTGTCACATAAGGGGAAAACTTGAAAATGAACAACGACGCGGTAAATCCTTAGAGAATCTTAGAGTATCCTGAATACTTCCCACAGTTTGATACGCGTGGTCTGACAAGTCCCACAGTTCTTGCGCTGCGACTAGATGACACAATGTTTTAAGCCTGCAGGTACAATCGCTTTGTACATGTAACTTTCAGCAATGGTTGATAATGTGAAGAACACCTTCTTGGGACTGACCCAGGGTTGACCGCCGATTGCCTGTTGGCCAACTGTTCAACAACTGTCTGGCTTGTTCTTCACAATTATTATCCACCGAAGTATACAGTTGACTCCTGATAACTCGAGCCCTCGCTAACTCGAACCAAAATCGATTTCCCTTGAATTTCTGTCATACATTTACTGTAATTTTACCCTTGGTAACTCGAACCCTCAATAACTCGAACCTCCTGCTAACTCCAAGTAGTTTTTGTTTCCCCTTAGATCATTTCTCTATAATTTTACCCTCAGTAACTGATGTTGTTGTTTTTTTAGGATCTGCAAACGGTTCTGTCGAGTCAGACCATGCTTCAAATTCAGCCAAATCTGCCCCTGTGCAAGACAACATTTTGGATGAACAGATAGATGCACCTGAAATGAAGATACAGATGGATCATGCACCTTCCTCAAAAAGTTACTTTGAGCTCACAGGCAGTGATGAAAATGGTACATCACTAAGGGCAGAGGAAAAAAATCCCGGTGAAAGCCAATACTTGTCAATTTTATCCAGTAGAAGTTCAGTTGAGGAAGACAGTGACATACGTTTATCCAGTAAGAGTGTAGGAAATGTTGTGCTGGTTGAAGAAAGTCCTAAGTCATCCATCCCTTCAGAGGTCATGTTTGTGTCAAATTCCAATTGCAGCTCATCTGATTTGTTAGCATATTCTGACAAGACTGCACCAGGAAGTTCTAACAGCATTTTACAAGCTTTTTGTGAAGTTGATGGCTTTCAATTGGTGTCAGGTGGTTCCCAGTCAGCCTCTGGTTACAGCAACCCCAGTCCTACAACATGGGATACTCAAGGGATCTCTCGTGTGATGGCCAGACCAGGCAATGAGCCAGCAGATGAAGATGGCCAGCTACGTGAAGCATGTGCCACCAGTGGCGAAGAAAGAGTGGTAAAGTCTCATGATTTCTGTGATGGAGCAGCAATGGTAGTTCCATATAGCACAAAGATAATCACTGAGTGTAGAAAAACAGACTTTTCAGTTAGTTCAGATTCTAGCCTTGCCAGAACTCAGAATGTTGCAAATGGAGGAAGTCTTTCTTCAACACAGCAGCATGTGTTTTCAGATGGAGAAGGAGAAATTACTCCACCATCATCAGATGTAATAGACTGGAAACGTCTAGGTGCTAGACCAAAGAAACCTCAACGTACAGGTGATGGACAAGTACCAAAAGAGCCTGTTGTATATATAACCGATGGCTTAGCTGGTGATTTCTTAGCGAGACACACCCAAGACAAGGCCCTTCATGACAGTATCTACCAAACTGATGTTGGTTCTCTCTTCAATGACATTCCATCTCAGGGGCCTTCCTTTATTGACGGTTACATATCTCAATTTAGCAGAGCCCAGCCTTACTTTGGGGATTGCCAGGCTGCATCCAGGACAGAGCCACATGGTAGAACTGGACATTCACTTTTAAGTGGATCTAGTAGACATCTGGGTGGCTCTTCTTATGTGGAACCTTACAGTGACAACTCAGGACTTTGGCCTAGCCATTTGGGAAATGATTCTTCCTCATTGTATAGTAACTATTTATCAAGAAATACTTCAACTGCTGCAAACAACTATTCTCTTCAAAGTGATTTTGTACATAATAGCAGTAGATTTGCAGGAGTTGACCATTTTGACAGACAGACTTATTTGCCATCAGCAAAGCAAACACCATTTCCTCCTGTAGCAAGTGATCCTGTTCTAAATAGTTATCCAGGAATGGCTGGTTCAAGTTTTGCTGACCCTTCATGGACAGGTGCAGCGCTAACTCTACCTGGGGATCCTGGACATAATGCACCAAGATTTAGTAGCTTTTTAAGTGAGCAGCTTACAGACCCTGCTCATGATGCAAATAGGTTTGCTGGTAATGATGCCACTTCAGCTTTTATCTCTAATCAGGGCACAGATGAGTCAGCTCAGAAAACAAATTTTGCACTTGGAAATTCAAGGACAACAACCGGAAACATTGATGATGATGCAAATTCCTCTGCACGGTATCAGCTTGGAAATTCCACAACGTTTGATGGTGTTTTGACAGCGAGTTCTACACATGATACATCTGTTCTAGAACCTCATCTTGGTGACCCCGACAATAATTTTGCGTTAAACAATGCAGATTTTGGTACTGATTCTATAGAAGCCTCAGACAACTCATTGCTTGCTCTTGAACGGCGTGTCGCAGAAGCTTGTGCCCTTGTTGAACGTGTTCTTCGGAAGAGAGAGGAACGAGAACAGTTTGGAAGGGAAATAGAAAGGAAAGAACAGTTAATAAGAGAACAGAGAGCTCGAGAAAGGAGAGAGAGAGAGGAGAGAGAGTTGCGGGAAGCTGAAAACTGGCCACAACAACAAGAGGCCATCACAGCACGTTCGCAGTGGTTATGTGAACATTATCAGCGGCACTGCAGAGTGCGATTCCCTTGTTGCACACAATTCTATCCATGCCATCGCTGCCACAACATCTCAAAAGCTTGTGACAATGAAGAGGCTAAAGCTTGTCATGCCACTCACCTGAAATGCTCTCACTGTCAGCATGAACAGGAGGTAAGCTTTCTTTTCATGTTTCCTAACACTTCAATTTAAAAATAGTAATTTGCTCTACATTATACCTGTACAGCTGTACCCAGCACACACTTTTTCAAAGTGAAACTTTCAATGTGTTTTTGGGTGATTGCTGTGAAAGTGTTATTTTCCATCATCTTTAAAGTATGTTGGAAATTTATGATTACTAGCTAAAAAACAAAGAGTAATAAATTTGTTTTAAATAGGCTGTTTAAAAATAGAATTGAATCTCAACATGATTATAAAAATTACCGGTGATCATAATTGATTACTGGGGTCAATTATTTAATAAAACTTTTACAAGTGTAATTTACAAGTGTAGCTATTATTTTCAGAGTCTAAAACAGTGACTACACTTGTAAATTACACTTGTAAAAGTTTTATATATTGATCCCTGCTAAACTCACAAACCTGTGAACACCAGAGATATATTTATAGGATACAAGTTGTAGGATTTCACAGTGACAAAAGTTTCCGGTACAATGTTGTTATGATGGTCTTAAAATAACAAAACCAAAAAATAGTTTCCCAGTGCCAATTTCAGCCTTAGGGATCCACTTACAGAAATTCATGATTTTTCCACACAGATAATTAACTGGTAGGGCAATTCTTTAGTTACAACTAATATATGAAACTAAAATGTTTAGGATCTATCAGTTCCATCTTGAATTATTTGTTACTGGTTTATGGCTTCCAGTGCCAAGAAAAAACTATGACTTTGAAAAATTAAAAACATTCAGTAGATGGGTTCCCATGAACTTCCATGGAATCAAAAAAATAAGTAATGTTTTTACTGATGGCTTCCCATAATCTCTGGGCATGGAACCAAAAAATTGTTTTCCATGGGAATTGAAATCCTAGGGCTTGAGGATATTATTTTTTTGTGAGGGGAAAACAATAATTAAGGAGTGAGAAACCTAATCCACAGACTGCAACAATATAATTTTAGTTTCTTAAGAATTTAGATTTTCTTTCACATCCTGAACTTTTTAGCAACTGGTCACAGCAGTAACATTCCTGACATATTTCAGGTCTTCACTTTTTTCTGAGTTGGCAGTAATTTTTTTCTTTGTTTTTGCTTCTGTGGAAATTGAAGAGTGAATTTCTGCTTTTTCATGCACCAGTGTAGTGTGAAATGTGTATAATTTTTTTTTGTATTTTGTGTTCCTTAAGTAAGTTCTGGTGTTTTATGAAGTGCTGTCCTCTTAAAACAATATTATTCAGTTCCATAAATACCATATTTGACAATTTGTCTGTTATTTTTGCAGATTGGTGAAGACAGTGCCAAGTGTCATAAGTGTGGGGGCAAAATGTCAGCATATTTCTGTCCCATCTGCAAGCATTTCACCAGTGTCGACAAAAATCCATATCATTGCAAAAAATGTGGAATTTGCAGGTAGGTGACTTGGAATTAGCTATTGTTATTCTGACTGTAATAATAATCATTGTTCCTGTGGAACACACAGACACCTCAATAAGGGGCATAATGTTATTGGTGTTAAACTTTTAAGAAAATATTTAGCCTCCTGTTTTTTGGTGTTTAGATAGTGGACAGGCTGCAATGGAGAGATCAGAGCAGCAGAAAACCGCTTTTTTGCTCTATGTCTATAAGGCACAAAAAGACAGGACCAACGGGTCTTTTTTGCACCATTCCCCACTGTCTGATCACATGGAAGCAGCGAGCCAGAAAAAATTATGTCAGCAAAGATCTTTTTTTTCTAGAAGTGGCTCTCTTGTTTGATTCACTTGCAGTTTTTCTTGACTGGTAGAAATAAAATGTCTTGACTTGTTTGGATGGGTCATAATGCCACTTGCGCATCTCCCTTATATTATGCACCCTAGTTGCTGTGCCCCCCTCCCCCCCCCCGCCCCCACCTAAAAAAAAATTTGCATAACCTTTGTTTTTTATTTCTCATGGGTATTACAACCATCCCATGAGAATTATGCAAAATTTTGTGGGGCAAATAAGTTGCATTATGGGAGATATGCAAGTTGTGTAGAGGGCAAAAATTAATGTGAAGCAAAAGCACTCTAGTGTCAGACTGTGTGGTTGATATACTGCATCACTTTTTAAAAAAATGTTATTAAATAATACTGTTTTTTGTCATTCAGGATTCACCAGGACAAGTCATTCCACTGTGAAGTGAGTAATGTGTGTTTAGACAAACGACTTGAGGGAAATCACAAATGTCGACCAGATTCAGGTCATGATGAATGCTGCATCTGCTTGGAGGTGAGGTTGAAAAGGGTACAATATAACATTTCTTTAAAAATCGAGTAGAAACCTAATAAAAAGGTTAAGAAAAGAGCAGAAAAAGGTGTAGATCGAGACGAGACGCCCGATAACATGAATTGCGATTAGATTGCGTGACTTATGTGAGAGACTGTTGTCTGAAAAGGGGAACAATTGTGAATAACGGTCCTCTTTATCTGAATTACAAGAGAAGCATTCAAGCTATCATCAAAGTAAATTTCAAATTGTGTGCTTTGATTCCGTTAGGATATCTAAGGTAAACTACTGTACTGTTCGTAACCTCTCGGTCGAATCATGTCTAAAAATCCGGGTGTATACAGCACTGAAATCAGCTGTAGCTGGCAGATGACGGAAAAATCAGGCCCCGGTTCCTGAAAGACGATTATTGCCAATCCAGGATTAAATCGCCAATCGCGGAATAAACTTTGTCCCACGATTGGATTCTGTTCCTGAAAGCACGATTAAGACTAACCCAGGATTAAATTACGTGTTAAATTAAACACACCTAGCGAGGACGATTAACTCACTAATCGGGGGGGGGGG